CCATCAACAGTGTATGAGATTCCTATTTCTCCTCATCCTCTCCAACATTTGTTATTACTGTCCTGTTGATTATAGCTATTCTGACAGATGTGAGATGGTATCTCATTGTGGTTTTCATTTGCATTTCCCTAATAGCTAGTGATGTTGAGCATCTTTTCATATATTTCTTGGCCATTTGTATGCCTTCTAGGAAGAAGTGTCTGTTCAAATTCTCTGCCAATTTTTGATTGGATCATTTTTTTTTAAATTGAGTTGTATGAGTTCTTTGTACATTTTGGATATTAGGTCCTTATTGGAGGCATTACTTGCAAATATATTTTCCCATTCGGATGGTTTTCTCTTTACCTCATCGACGGTTTCTTTTGCTGAGCAGAAGCTTTTTAGTTTGATGTAGTCCTGTTCATTTATATCTGCTTTTACTTCCCTTGCCTTTGAGGTCAAATTCATCAAATCTTCTTGAAGTCCAAAGTCCTTGAGTTTAGTTCCTATGTTTTCTTCTATGCATTTTATTCTTTCAGGTCTTATATTTAGGTAACAGGTGACCTTTCTGATGTTAACTTCTTTTTCCATCTGTGCCATCAATTTTGGGAGGATGTGAAGAACAAGCTTGATGCCACTCATGTGTGTTTCCCCTTTTTGTATTTCTAGAAACTTGATCTGGGTGTATCTTTGCTCTTTGTTCAAATTCTCTTTCCTGGTATCTGCTTATATCCTAACCCCTTTATTGATCCAAATGAAATTATATGTTATTTTGCTAGTGACAATGTAAAAATGGAAGATTTGAAAGAGAAACACATTTTGAGATGTATAAGCATTTTACTAATCTGAATAATGGCATTTGAAAAATTGACTTACACAGTTAGTTTTTCTAAATTTTGTATAATTTTTTTTAATACTTGACCCTGATGCCATTGGAGAGCGAAGAAGACTTAATTCTCAACAGTCTTTCAACATCTCTTTACTTGTTTTAATTTAATTCAAATCTAGTAGAGATAGGACAGAGTAAGTTGTTAGATGCATTGCTACAAATTCTAATTGTATATAGTTACCTTTGAAAACTGATATTTTCTGGTAAAGTCAAGTCCTCTGCAGCAAAGATCTTTGAATATCAACACGTTTATTAAAAACAATGTTAAATATCACACATACATTATTCACTTAATTCTCACAGAATTGCTGAAATGGGTACTGCATTATATAGGAAGCCACTGAGGCTCAGAGAATTCAACTAACTTTCTTAAGGTCATATAGCTAAGAAATTGTAAAGCTTGGCTTTGAACTCATTTCGATGTAGCTCAAACTCCAGTGGCCACTAAGGATATTTATCTAAGGATATTACTTTTGTAAATGTCTCGAATTCTAAGCCAAAATTGAAAGGGCTTACGTTCATCTTTCTTCTTGAGTATTTATGATGTCAAGGTCACTTGGTCACTTCAGGTCATTGCCATGGTATGCTGCAGTATGCGGGGAAGATACTTTGGAGTAAGAGAGGCCTCTTGACGCTTTCTTTCTTGTGAGGAGCTTCCTTTTGTGTTCAGCTTAGAAAGTCAGGCCTGAGGACAAGTATTAAAATCTCAAGTACCTGTTACGTGCCTCGCTCATAGTGTTGAAATCTGCTTTCTTGTACCCCTCCCTCCCCTGCCCATTCCCTTCTTGTCTGGGCACATTGACCTTCCTAACTCTGCTTCTGTCATGTATTATACTGGTGTCTTGAGAGGGTTGAAAGTAACTCTGCTTCTGTCATGTATTATACTGGTGTCTTGAGAGGGTAGAAAGTAAGCAAGACAGTGTCAGTTTTGCTGGCAGAACTACAGCATATGATTGCTCTTAAGTTCAGCCCTGTATCTTTGAGAAGAAGGCAATGACAAATAGTTTATTCTAAGGCCCTTGATTTCCTTTGGAATTGTAAGCATCTAGGCTGACTCATCTCTCAAAGGCTTTCCTCTCTCTTTTTGGCTGGCATTGTTGTGAGGTTTTCTTGTTTGTCCTTCCCTTATTTTGGCAGGGGGAGAGAGATTGATTTTCATTTTGATTTTTGGGTGAAAGAACCAGCTATACTCTTGGGATGACCAGCACTGTTAAGCCTTGGCAAGAAGAAATAGCTGCAACTCCAAAATAGGTACAAAAATGTCTGAATTGGGGCAAGGGAAGAGGGGAAGCAATATTAGAAAAATGAAGCCAGAGATAAGTTGTGTGCATCAAGATGAGATCTTCAGGTAACAGGTTCTGGACCTGCTATTATGAATGGAGGATAGCTAGAGTCTTACTCTGGGACTGTGGTTAGGTTATGTGCATGTGCCTTTGGTTGAAATGGTCATTTTGTAGATGCAATTTGTTGGTCAGGCTTAAGCATTCAGTTTGGGTTGCTTTGCAATTGAAGGACCTTTTAAAAAATCCATGCTAAGGATTTTCCTCCTTGCTCAGTTCAAAAGCTGTAGAAAGACTCCTATTCCTTTCTCATACTGCACTTTAGTTATCTGGCCAGCATTTATTTTTGACATGTGCGACTTTGACCATTAAAGAAAGGGGGCAAAAGAGAATTTCGGAAACAAAAGTAGTTTGTTTTTGACAGAGCTCATTTATATAAAGTATTGAATGATAAACTCCTATTTACCTTTTCTCTGGCAAAGCCACAAAACTTGATCTTTGGAACTTAAGTCCTTCCCCCTCCCACACATACCAAATAATATATAGACTAGTATCACAAAACTCCATGGGAAAAGAAAGCTCAGAAAAGGTTTATTGCCCGATGTTCCAAATTATCTTCTCTGTCAGGAGCCAGCACATACATATTCACCCAAACCATTAACTTCAGAACCACTTTAAATTCTTAATAAAAATTTTCCCTAAGTCCTGGCAATTCTACCCATTTAATCCATCCCCTGCTCCAGCTCCAGTGACACTGACTTTAGTCAGCATCTCTTGCTTCTTGGCTGATCGACCTACTTAAGGCGCTCTACCCAAACCAAGCTTTTCACTACTCTTTGTGATTTTTCAAAGCTACCGCTCTGACTCTGTTATTCCCCACTTAAAACACTGCAGTAGTTTCCTATTGCCTTCGGGAGAAAGTCCAGCTCCTTAACATGGCTAACAGAGACATTCATGATCTCATCCCTGCCTATCCAGATTTATCTCCTTCTATTTCCTTTATACAGCTATAAGAATATAACGACCTCTCTCCCATCTCCTTGTCTTTGCACAAACTGTTCTCTCCTTCTGGACACTCCCCATTCCCTGGCAGACTTAGATGTTTCCTCCATTCTGCTCTCACAATACTTTGTTTATATCTTGGCGGATTGACTTATCATAAGGTTTTGTAAATTCTTGCTAACTTGTATATCTTCATCACTGTATAGTTAAATCCTTTATGAAAGGAGTAGTATTATAGTCCTCATATTTTTATCATTAGTGCCTGGCACAAAGTGGGCATTTAATGCAAATTTCTTTTTTAATGAATAAATTAAAGAACAAAGGAATAACAGAGGTAAGCATGTGCAGGAAAGGATGCTGTCTGGGGTCCAGGGAGATCTCTGCTGGAGGAATCTGAGCAACCTGGGAGTAGTATGAGATCATGGGCACCATGGAGAAGGGACAGGTTTGTCAGTACACTATGACAAACTTTTCTCTGTTCATCAGTCCTGTATAGCGAATCTTACAAGAAATGTCCTGGGACATTTCATGTTTTTTCATGAAAAAATAATTGCACAACCTTTGGTAAATAGATAAAAGGCAAACAAAATCCCATCACTTAATACAGATATTGTTAGTATTTGAATGCATTTCTTTCAGCCTTTTATTTTCATATGTGGTTTCCTTCACATAGTTGTAATCATAATTAATACAATTCTGCATTTTGTATTTATTGCTTAAGAGCTCTTTGTAAACATCACTTTCATGATTGCATAATTTTCCATACTGCAACCATTCCATAATTTATATAACTAGTCTAATTGTTGGGCTAGCGCTTTTTTCCCCTTAATTTTATACTGTTATGGCTCATGTAAATATGGTTTTCCCTCTCTGTGGGAAGATTCCATTAGGATAGATTCATAGAAGAGGAATTACTGTGTCAAAGGGCCTAGGGATGATTTTTGTCTCATAACTCATGTGTCCAGTTTGCTTTCTGGAAGAGTTGCACAAATTTACAGAGTTCCTAACCTAGATGAATGTGCCCATTTTGAGTATTATCATTCAAAAATAAAAGTAAACTTCATCAATGTTCTAATTAATTAATTGAAAATATTACCTTATTCTTGTTTCAATGTAAAGTTGTTGTTTTTTCCCCATTTTTCTTTTCTTTCTTTCTTTTTCTTCCTTCCTTCCTTCCTTCCTTCCTTCCTTCCATCCTTCCTTCCTTCCTTCCTTCCTTCCTTCCTTCCTTCCTTCCTTCCTTCCTTCCTTTCCTTCTTTCCTTCTTTCTTTTTTCAGAAACAGCAT